GTTGGCTTTTACTTTTCTATTAATTAATTCATTTTTGAAACAGGGCTTCTCTGTGTAGCCCTGGCTGTCCCGGAACTTGCTCCATAGACCAAACTGGCCTAAAATTCAGAGATATGCCTGCCTCTGACTCCTTGTGGCACTGGGATTAAAGAAATGCACTACCACAGGCCAGCAACTTTAAGTTATCTAAAGAGAGTTTCAGTTTTAGTCTTTTTGTTTAGTCTTTGACTTATTTGGAATGAATTTTTATGCATGGTAATAAGGTCTAACTAAAGTATTTCTTGTATGATTACCTAGTTTTCCTGACACTATTAAAAGGGACTTACTCTGCCTCTTGACAAAAACTATTTTTATTATTTCATTTCATACCAAATTTTCCATTCAAACTGGACTAGCTATGTAGCAATCTACTTCTAGTATATCCCATGCCATTTCTCCATTCCTATACCTTAGGTCATTTATATATCATACTGTCTTTAAGTCCTCAATTCTCTGCCTTCAAGTGCTCCAGCTAAAAGAAAAGGTATGAAAATTACTGTATTAGAATAAAGATAAAAGTTACAAAAAAAGATTTTATTCTGTATCTTTATACAATGGCTATAATTTCAAATTCAGTGGTTTATATTCAGGCCTAGAGACCCTTAATTTTTTTTGCTGGCTTTTTTTATATACCTCAGCATTTTACTTATATTCGTAGAAGAAAAAACAAGTCATTCTGAAAGTGAGATAAAAATAGATAAATGTCTTGCTTAAGAAGTCAACTTAACTATACAAATGAATATATGGGAATACTTAAGTACTGAAATTAATATTCTTTATATCACAGAATAGCAATTTAAAATGATAGAGCAAATCACAAATTGTCCAATTTTCCCCGTCAACCCTCTTTTGTTTCCATTCATATTTTTATTTAGAAATATTTACGGTTTTATCTTATAAGACTTCTAATATTAATTCATCTTGTTTCCCTAAAGTGTTGCACTTCATAAAATATTTAGATTTCAGGCATGTTGTCTAAACTATAACATCATCTTGACTAGATCAGAACAATGGTTCAGTTTTTGAATTTTTAAAAACTAATTATTAATATAATAAGGAACAGGTAAGTTTGGTAGAATATAATGACAGAATACAGACTCTGAGGGCAGAACCCTAGCATTCTCCCCTTTATGAGTCCTTATCATGGCTAAGTTACTCTAGTATACTGACTCTGCTCTGGTTCCTCTTGGATAAAATGTGGCAAATGCCTATCTCATTTAAATCGTATACCTTAATCCTATATGAGCACATTTAATAGTGACTACATGTTCATTAAATGTCTGTTCAACCTAAATTCTCAGTAGGGTCTGCATTTCTGACAAACTCACTGTTTCAGGCAACTATGTTGTAGCTCAACATACACTAATACAGTTAATGACAAAGAGTTGGTGTTGTTGCTGGTCCAGAAATAACTTATTTATAAAAAATCTTTTACCTTGGCCACATTGACTACATTGGCTCTACCTCTACAAATGGTTTTAAAGGGCTTGCTATAAAATGCATCAGGATAAAAGTGGAGCACCAGTAATATTATGGTCCACAACTGATGCTATTGACAATTCAAAGAAAGACCTGGATATGTTCAGCCTTCAGAAAAGAGGTAAAAACTATTTTGGGACACTCATCGAGGACCAAAGAATAAGGTTCTCTATACTATGAAGTTGATTTTTAAGTAAGAACTTGGAGGGAACATACACACCACTAAAATTCAGAACTGTGGTATAACTTTTTTTTAACTTTTCCTCCTTTCCTTCTCTCCCTCCAGACAAGGTATCATGCAACTGAGGCTGTCCTCAATTTCACTAAGTTGTCAAGGATGATCTTAATTCCTGTTTCTCTTCTCCTCCTACTGATAGGCTATAGGTGTGTACCACTATACACAGTTTCCTTGGTGCTGGACATCAGACACAGAGTGTATGCTTTCTAGATAGAGCTCTATCAACTGAACTACATTCCCAACCCTCGTTTTAACTTTCCTAATATCCAAAGTAACTTCATAAATTCTATTATTTGAATCTTTGTAGAAGCTGAAAAATTGTTCAGAATGGGAAAAATGAGTCCATAATTTTGCATTAAAACTTAAATTTCAAGATTGCCATTTTGTTGAGAATAGAAATATCATCAAGGCTTAAGTAAAAAGGTAAAGATTTAAAATACTCCTTCTATTAAACATTTGTACATCAAAAATTAAAGGCTTTGAGGACAAAGAATGTCTGGCATTCAGTTAATACTTCTGTAATTCTCAAAAGCAATACTTTTCCAACAATAAAAAACTTAAGAGAACACTGAACTTTTTTGATGCCTATGAACTATAAAGCAATATATAACTTTCAGAAATTAGATTTTTACATACTAAATTGATAGGGAGTCATCTTATCAGTAGGTATCTAAGGCATCCTTTTCTTCCCTTAATTATGACAGTATCTGCTACCTTTCACCACTAATTCAACTCCAAAATAAGTAACTACTTTTTTTTTTTTTTTATGTTTGGTATATACTCCCAGGAAACACTTCCTTTTAAAGAAACTACTTAAGATAGGTAAAATTTTCTCCTTAGTGGCATGACAAACAGCAGTTTATACTACAAAGATATTTATATCACAAATAAATTAAAAATAACAAAATTTTCAGTCCATTTATAACATAGAATTACAAAATTAATTTTTACTAAAAGCAAAAAAAATTTCATCACCTGCCATATCAACGACTCTAACTTCCCCAATAATGAAAACATTCCTTTTCATCTCTAATATTAACCCCCATAATATAATTCAACAACTGACAATACTTGTGTATCATTATTTTCTTGCTAACCTGATGTATTTCCTACATGGGAAGTAGTTATATCTTTTTATTTTTTTCCTAGCATAGCATTGAGTAGGTTTCCTGAATTAGGAAGTAACTGGTTTCTGTCATCTAATGATTACAGGATTATCAATACTGACAGGACTAAATGTGAATTCTTCTTCATATTTTGTTTCTTTATTAGGTCAATATCTTAGTATCTTTTCTGTTTTATATTTAAAAAGATGGGTGTAATATTCTTTTTTTGTTTTTTTTTTAAGACAGGGTTTCTCTAGGCTGCCCTGGAACTCGCTCTGTAGATGAGGCTGGCCTCGAACTCACAGAGATTTGCCTGCCTCTGCCTCCCCAGCACTGGGATTAAAGGTGTGCACCATCACCTCGGGGCATGATATTCTTTTTTTTTTTTTTTTTAATTTGAATTAGAAACAAGATAGTTTTACATGTCAATCCCAGGTCCCTCTCCCTCCCCTCCTCCCCTACCACCCTCCCAACTAAAACCCTACCTATCACAAACCCTTTCTACTCCCCAGGGAGGGTGAGGCCTTCTATAGGGGGTCTGGCATGAAATTCTTAAATGTGGACAACAATGTGCACTCCAAGATTTTAAACTATCAATGTTATGTATTTTTAAATTAATTTTTCTGTGAATGTATATGTGCAAGTATGCCATGAGTGTTTGGGTGCCTGCAGAAAAGAAAGTGCTGATTCCCCTTGACCTGGAAATACAGTTTGTTGTGAGCTGCCCAATATAGGCTGCTGTAGGGGCTGGGGAGGTTCTCGGAACCAGGTATGGGCCCTCTGGAAGAGCAGCAAGTGCTCTTAACCAAAGCAAATCTCTCTGGCCCCTCAAATAATATTTTAAATTTGCATAAAATAAATAGATAATTTAAGTTTATGTAACTAAAATGCAATGGGGGAAATAAAAGCTTTTAAAAAAAGAAAAAGCGAGGAGAAAAAAGCAAGAAAACTGTGATATTTTGAATTTCTTTCTCCTCTCTGCCTCCCTAGTGCTGAGATTAAAGGCATGTGCCACCAATGCCCGGTGACATTTTAAATTTCTTCAGCAACAAAAATTTTCTATTAGAATTTTAAACTGGGCCAGGTGTTGGTGGCACATGCCTTTAATCTCAGCACTTGGATCTCTGTGAGTTCGAGGCCAGCCTGGCCTCCAGAGCGAGTGCCAGGATAGGCTCCCAAACTACAAAAAAAAAAAAAAAAAAAAAAAAAAAAAAAAAAAACAAAAACTTTAAAGTGGAAAGTAAACTTAAAATTTCTTTATGCAACTTGGAAAAATGAGTACAAAATACTACCATTATTCAAATGAGAGCACCTAACATATTAACACCATTATGCCACTTCTAGGACATCCATATTCCAAAGATGAAGGGCTAGGGAGGTAAAGTGCTTGTCTAGATTCCTTTAAAGCCTTGGGTTCCATCTCTATCACTGCAAAGAAAACAGAAATTAAAAAAAAAAAAAAAAAAAAGCCACTACGAAAACCCTTCTTATACACTATCCATAAAATTAATAACTTAAAAGAAATTATTATGTTAAAAGAAAATATGGTATTAAATAAACAGTAAAAGAAAGAGAGACACAAGCACAGAAAACCATGTAGGGTCGTGTAAAGTGGGCCACAGTAGGAGCCGACAGTAGGAGTAGAGTATCAACTGGAAAACTGTCATTTTTAGTAACTTAAAGGAAGGCTGAAGTTGGTTTCCAAGGGTTCAATTAAGGAACCCAAGCCTGTACTGTACAGGATTCTTTAGGGTTTTGTAAATGTTTTCATTCTAATTTCCTAGAGATAAAAATATGCAAGAAAAACTTTTACAAGAAAAAACAAACAAAAACAGCCTGTAGCATTTTGCTACTAATAAGACAAAGTTTTCAATATTTCTTTATCTTACCTCCCATTGAGTCCCATCTCCTCCTCCCCCCTGGGAGGGGCGCAACAACACAGATACACATAACGTTGATGACACACATTCTCACTACTTGACTTGAAAGGATTCATCTGTGATCATAAGGTTATCTAACATACATGGGTTTTGGATTACTAATGCAATGTGTGAGACAATGGAAGAGAAACATCTGAAGCACTAACTTTCATTTAAATGGGGCCCCCTAACCCTTAGGAACAGAAATTTGAGTCTGAGTTTTTTTTTTTTTTTTTTGAGAGATGCAAAATTAGCTCAAGAAGTAGATGGAAATGAATCTTTTGTTAATTTCAGAGTCTGGAATACTTTCATAGAAATAATTATCTGTGTGTATTTAACATGAACTTATTAATATGCCAGTTTTTCTGGAGATATATTAATTTCAGCTAACCTGTTAGAATCATTCTGTTGTAATGTATAGTTTTCCAAATTTAAATCAGGAAAAATTTTAATGTGTGCAAGTGTGTGCATACAGACAGAAAAGAGATTGCCTTTGCTGTTTTTCCTATCTCCTGAAGTTTTAAAAACTAAGTGTAAAAAGTTTCTTACAAAGAAGTCTCAAATTAATGCAAAAACAAAAAATATTTCAAGAGGCTACTTTCAAGCTATAAAACTGCAAGATCAATAAACTTGAATAATGATAATAAAAAATACCATTACTAGGACTGGAAAGATGGATGGCTCCTGGTTAAGAGTACTTCTTGTTCTTGTAGATACCAGGGTTCCCAGCACCCATATGGTGGTACACAACCAACACCTTAGAACTCCAGTTCCAGGGGATCCATTGCCCTCTTCTGGCCTCCACGGACACCAGGCACAGTACACATGTATATGCAGTCAAACCCACATAAAATAAAAATATGTAAGCCTTAAAAAAATCTTTAGTTATTTTTAAACTTTGGAGAAATGATTTAATATTGTGATTCTCAGACTTGGAGATAACAGAGCCTTTCTAGAAAATACTTTCCACACTAGTAAAGTAACCTACAGCAATGAAATCATTCTTGTTCTAAACTAAAGTAAAATCAAACATTAACGAATATAGAGCTGAGGGAGACTTAAGCTATTCTAGGATAGACAGAAAATAATCAGAAGTGAATGGAAACATGACAGCAAATAGTAAGTTTTTGTAGTAATGGTGGTGGGTCACTGAGGAGGGAACTGGAAGCTAATACTTACAAAATAATTGTTGGGCTATTTAGAGGGCTGTTCTAGTAATATCTTCATTTTAGCATTGTTAAACCTATGAAAAAAAGAATGAAGACTTTAAAATTTGAGCTTATTACAGATGCAAAAACATTTTCAACTCATGTCAGCAATCATTGTTTTCTGATTCTTACACATAGAATCACAGATTACAATTTACCAGCAGTAGTGTTTGTAATTTCAATTCAGTGCATTGTCATTAAGTCTGCAAAATGTGCTTTCCCAGTAAAACTACTTTCTGATTATTTAAAACTCATGTATGTCAAGTGTAGCTAACACTGCTAACTTGGGGTATGCGGAGTTCTGAGGATAACACAAAATTCCAAGTATTTTACATTAATTCCAGATCACATCCCAAGATATTTCCCTTTCTTCTCTCCATCCACAGCACACCTCCACACACAAAGTCTACACACTTCCCTATTACAAGAACTCTAATACAATATAGAAAACCACAAAGAGCTTAAAATGCATTGAAAAAAAAATCAGTGGGAATAAAACATTATGAGATGACCACAACAAAATATTGTTCAAAAATTGCCTGAAGCAAAAAATAACTGAAAGTAGTGATAAAGAAAGGATAAAGAAAGTAGAGCCCTTGAACCATAGCAGGAATATACTACAGACCAGCCTTTAAAACATCCTAGTAACTTTAGTTAGTCACAATATTTTATTTCTTTGAGACATTATATACTGTGTTCCTATTATTTGAGACAGTCTTGTTAATAAGGCCCTGCCTGGCCTTAAACTTGGGATCCTCTTGTCTCATCTTCCCAAGTGCCGGATTACTGGAATATGCAAACATAACTACACACAATTACTTATTGAAAGAATACACAAAATCTTTTATGCTTTTACCAGAACATTCCTAGTGCATATTTATTGCAGATTACTTTCTCACAAAAGGGTGCATTTCTTTTTATTTCAAAATTCACCAATCCCCTTCAATAATGCCAACATGAAATCTATACTTTAACATGAAGCTCCACCCCAAATCCAGCTCTATTGAAGTGTTAAACAATATCCCAATTATACACTAGATCCTGATGTGCCAAGCCCTAGTCGCATTCCTTTAGGATGTAACTACAATCTTGAATTTGGTATTTACTTCCTATGCATGTTTTTTTACACTATAACTACAAATTTAACTGTTATACACATATGTTACTTTCCGCAAAGGTTAATTTTTTGCTGAGTACAGTCATCCAGAATAATATACACAACTCTTATTTTAATGGCTATGCAGTATAACTATGTCACATTGTGTAATGGGGGTCTACTATAACTTCAACTGTATTATAACATTTCCAAGTGCTCCACAAACTAGAGAAAAACTTGTATTTTCCCCAACATTTGAAAATACATTTAAGAAAAATACCTACTTCTGTGTAGAAATGAACATTTTTTAATGTTTAGTTTTTATCTTATTATTGACATCTATTGTATATATATGGGTGCTTTACCTGCATGAATGTCTGAATGCTATTTGCATGGCTGGTGCCCACAGAAGAAGGTGTCAGATTTCCTACAACTTGGGCTGTGAGCTGCCATGTGGGTTCAGGGAACTGAACCTGGGTCCTCTGTAGGAGCAATAAGTGCTCTCTCTTAACAGTTGAGCCATCTCTCCATCCAACTGCTCTCAAGTGTGTATAACATTAACATAGGGTCAAAATTTGTCCCAAAACATTTCACAAAAATAAAAGTTCTGAAAACAGATTGTTCTTCATATGACTAAGGAAATACCAACACTTAGAAGTGCTGTAGAAATGATAAGATTCCTAATTAGATACTGAACTTTGTTAGATCCAAGATAACCAATAGCTGAGATATGGTGGATGAACCAGATGTCATGATTTGGTATGAACAGTCCTTTCCGCCCCACCTCATTTATTGTGGTGTTCCTTTAAGGGGCGGTGGGGGGGGGGAATCCTTTAGACCTTGTAAAAGGCATAAATTCTGGACATCTAGGACCACAATTTTAATTAAGCAGGTCAGGAAAAATGCTTTATTTTAGATCATTCTAGTAGTCAGTCCACAGACATTCAGCAGGAGTCAATCAGGGTGGCAGATATTTTTAACAGAGGATTATGCATCTAACTTTTAGGTTAAGCATGTGTAGTATTATTATGCCTTTCTGTCAAATTACATCAACATAAAAACAGTAGTAGCCTAAAAAAGCAATTTCAATTTATAATTTCATAATGCCAGAATAGACTGTGGTCTCAATTATTAATTCAGATAAATAAACGCACAATGTGACAAAAGCCATTTTTGTTAGCAATACCAAAGAAATGATATTCTGAGTTTACTATGACTGGTAAAGCAAACATTAAGCACATGGGGATGGATCAGAAGCGATTTTAAGGCTGGAGAAATGGCCCAGCTGTTAAAGGCTAGGCTCACAACCAAGAATATAAGTGATTTTAATGATGATAACCAAGGAGCAATGATGGTTATCTTTTAAAAATATAATGGCAAACACTGACACAAAACTAAACGTCACTTTTAATTTTCTACCAAAGTCTTATAAATGAAACCAGAACTTTAACAGAGAGCCAATATTCACTTACCTAGAATTGTAATTATACAGATAAAGGGGGAGAAAAACTTATGTAGATAATGCAAGTTAGTGCAAATAGAAGTATACACGTCTATAAAACTATATTACTTGAAATTACAAAGTAATTTCTAAAAGATGTAGAATTTGATATGGTATGTTAAGAACTCATAAAGTATGACTAGAAATATAAAATAGTTAAAGGGTTTTCACCTATGGTGTATGTTGGTTCCAATTACTGACAACATGAAGTATAGAATATTTTTATTATAGTAAAACTAACAATAATTCAGCCTTCTTTATATGAGGCGATAAAAAGAAAATGGTATGTCCTCAAAGAGGAAGAAATATTCCTGTATGGCCACAACTTTTCTTTCTCACATATGAATCTGAATTTGTGGCATCAGAAACTTAACTACTAGTAAGTTTTACTATTTTATTAGCTTAAAAGTAAAAAGTATGGAACAGCACACGTACTTTTAGAATTTTTCAACTCTTAACAGGTGAAATTTCCTGAATGAAAAGTGAATATAACAGCACTGAATAAACGGTTTAAAAAAAAAACAGTCCAAGAACCACAAATATTTACTATCCTCTTAAGGCCACACTGGGAAGAAAGTATCTTTCAAAGAGACTAGTCTGCAAACCAAACATGGAAAACCTTTCCACTTGGGTGCAAAATTATTATCACACACTGAGCACTTTGCAGAACAGCCAGCTGACAAGCAGCAGTGACCACCTAATTCCAGTTCTTATAAGGGACAAGAACAACTGCTATGGTGGTGACACTTGCTTCTTCACCACTGATGCTCCTACTATTTAAAACGCATATGCAACTAACTCCAAGGAAAGTGCTTCAGAACAATTCACTTGCCAAGTCCATTTGTATCATTATTTAAGAAGGAATTTAAAAAGGGTAAGGTGGAGAGAAAAGACAAAACTAATATTTTGGTTAGAGAGGGAACCTACAACATATCTAAAAAAAAAAAGATAATAACACATAGCAATTTCAGCTTCTAAGGCTACATTTAACTACTCAATTACCAAAACTCTCTGAAGAGTTTTAAGCATTTGTCAAGAGTGAATGCACAGACTTCCTTAAGTTGTACAAATTCCAATCAAGAAATAAAATTGTACTTTTACTCATAAAATATCCCTAGTTCCCTCCCAGGCATAATGTACTGAGTCACTATCATATGCTGACTTAGGTACTATTAGAAAAACAAAACAAAACAAAACCCCCCTAAAAAAAAAAAAAAAAAAAAAAAAAAAGCAAACAAACCAACAAAAAACCCAAACCCTGAGTTTCAAGCACTGGGTATTATAGCTCAGCGGTAGACAGTATGCTAGTACAAGACCTTTGGTTCAATCTTTAGAACAGCAAATAATAAAGTATTAAGGGTCCAGCCAATGGTCCCCCCCTTGGGGTTCAGGAATTGTTCTGGGGCTGTGGCATGCCATCCAAGTGCTCTACCACCAAGCTACAATACTTCCTAGACCTAGCCTAAAAGAGTTAACAAAAAACCATAACTGAGGCTGGCAATATGGCTCAGTGGGTAGGAGTGCCTCCTATGCAGGCCTAACAATCTGTGAATTTCAACCCTGGAACACACTGAGGTGCAGGGAGAGACTTGATACAAGGCTGCTCTGTGAATTCTACACCACCCCTACCATACACACAATAATAAAATAAAGTTTTAAAAATCACAACTAACCAAAAACTTCTAGGTGTAATCTATCTTAAAAATATATTATGTGTATTAGAGGTAAAGCCTTAGTTAAGCTTAAAATACTAATGCTTATTCTGCTAAAATGCTTTAAATATAAGAAAATGCTGTCTACAGATTGAAAACTTAAAATGCAAGTCATCTTTCAACCCTTTAAGCATTGCCTCAGAAATATATAAAACAAAGTTTGGATGTTATTAAAAAAAATCAACACAGATTAGAACAAGACATTAAATTTAATAATAACTAGTCTTAAATGTTAGTTTTAAGGTTAAAAAATTAAAAGTGTTAAATAGTGGCAATATAGTAAATTTAGGTATTCTGCAAAAACTATAATCTTTTATCAAAAACAATAAAAAACTTTTCCACTTTGTTGTCAATGACGAATGCTAGAAATAAAACATATACATAAAAAACCCCACCGGATTAACAAGGTAATTTTGAATATATTTATTTAGTATGAAAGGAATTTAAAATTTAATTTATAAAATTTAGACATACAGAAATAGTAATGGAGTGATCAATTACAGAAATCACATTTGAAACATGCCATATGTTTTCTTTCAAGTGATTCTAACTACCATGATATCAAAGTAACATTAAATGTCCAAAGTGTGGTTCATAGTGCTGAGAACAGAAAAACTACTTCAAAGCCATTCTTTTTAAAAAATGTAAAGCCTTAAAATTAATTAAATATTGCCTATTGAAAAAATGTTGATCAGAAAGCATCAGTTCTGATTCATTAGTCCTTACTTGAAGAAAAATAATACAAATTAATTAGGAATATTTGTTACCTTTAGAAAACCACAAAATATATACATGTAGGAAACTGCTTCAAATAAGCAATTAAAATATTTGTTATTTGTGTCTATTATTTAGAACATCTTTGCAATACTTTAAAATCTCTATCCAAGAAAACTTGATTCCACTGACAAACAGCTTAAAATGTAAGTCATGTTTATGAAGTAGCATTATATAATCACAGTTAATAATTTAAGGCCCTTCATCAACAGATGTTAAATTACCCCCAGCCTAGTTTATTAAAGTATTCTTTTTACCCTAAGGTAAATACTTCAGTAAGATAGAAACAATGATAGTACAGCTGTACTTTATGGGCAATTATTTTTCCTGGAACCCTGATTATGCCTAACTGAAAGTATAAATATTGTATTCCAAATAAAATTCTATCACTGGGAAAAAAGTTTAATCAAGAAATTTAAATCAACACAATAAATCTCTTTCCTCAAATTGTTATCTAGTAAACTATGTATTAAAAGAGATTGGGAAAGATTCGAAAATTTGAAGTATCTATAACATGTCCTTTAAAGGGTGGTTAAAGAATACCTAGTCATACATAACTGTAACAGCTTTTATTATTAACCAAGTTAAGGTTTCTTACTCTATCAGAAATAACCAACAATACAAAAATTTTTAACATCTATACTAATGCTTTTAGATACTAAATTATTTAATAAGCTAAATTCCTATGTTCATAAGCCAGTTTATAACTTTAGAGAGAACAGTAACATGAAAATGTCAAATATTTGTGTTCAAACAGTAAATTCTTAAACCCTCAGGTATCATAAATCTTTGGAACAACTGTGCATTTCAATCTTTATCTATATTATAAACTCATAACTGCTTTCTCCCTCATTTAACTCATTAAAGCTCTGTCAACTATCTGGATTAAAAGTGATAAATTAAACCTCAAATTTTTCAGGTACTCGATTTTCATGTTAATATTAAGATAGAGGGGAGAAATTTTTATTTATTTTTCACCCATTAAAACTGTTTTGTCATAATATTTAAGATCAAAGTTATAAAGACATTCTATACTTTGTATTTATCTGGAACAATCACCACATAATATGACATCAATGTAACATAAAGTACCAGAAATTCACCCTTATTTAAACTCTGATTTCTATTTCACCTCAACTATTAAGAGATATGCATTTCTGGATTGTCTATAATATAAAAGTATAAAATTCCAGTATTTTAGTATTTTAATATTTATTTCAATATTCCAGCATTCTTAAACACACCTGGGAATTTGTTCTAAAATGTTTACACTATTTAAAGTTAAAAGCAGTTTTATGAGCAGGAAAATTATAATTTACTCTTAAGATTAAATTATACTTCTTAAGAAAACAAGTCTTTGGGATTTTCTATTTGTAACTTACATATTTTTAGTTAAAAGAGTCTAAAGAAAATTAATTATATTTTAGCAACTCTCATTCTATTTAGCAAGTATTACTAAAACTTATAGTTAACACTTCACTAGAAAAAACTAATCAAGTAATATTTAGTAATAATGTTCCGTAAATTCATTTTTATTATACCATCTAGAAAACAAAAATTGTTTAAGCTGAATATTATCTGAAATGCTCAAGTAAAACTATAAAAATCAAGTAAAATAAAGCATTAGAAAAATGGTCTATGACAAATATTTTGGAGGTTAAGACAATAGTCACCAGAAGTTTAAGCAATCTATAATTTTTATCATTAGACTACTGTCAACTTTTGATATTAACAATGTTCTGAGTATCTATGAGTAAGATACCTGTTTCTGCTCAAGAAAGTAGGTTTCTCAGTTTCAACCAAATTGTGACTTTTGGTTAGGACAGTTAATTGGAATATTTTCAATTTTTCTTAAAATATTTTCATTAATCTTATCTCATTTTTAGGCTCTACTTCTCGACTCGTCAAATAGCCAAGTACCAAATTCCACTTGACTTAAACACTTCATTTTGAAAGAATAAAGTCCACCACATAATTAAATACCTTACATAGCACTGTAGTAACACCCTTAGGAAAATGGAAAACAAAACATCATGTATACTTTGGGGGGGGGGATAAATTCAGGTGAATCTACTACTGCACTATAAAAACATCAGCTATATACTTAAAAATCTGAATTTTAACAAGCAAGACACTTAGATTCAGCTAATTTACAAGATTTCTGTTTATTCTTTATTTATTAATTTTAGATCACTTAAATGTTTCAGCATTACTATCAAGTCCAATTACATTACAAAGACATATAATAGGCTCTGAAAATTCATTAGTACAAAGCAGACACACTGACACATATTTACAATATCAGCACTAAGGAGGTCAGGGCAGGAAAATTAGTAGTTTCAGGCTAGCTTAGGATACAAAGCAACTTTCAGGCTGGCTGTAGAGTTAAAACCTTGACTTAAAACAACAAAAAACAAAAAACCACATTAGTATACCTTAATCCTCTATTGTGTTCCAATGCATTATGCCAGCATTCAGTCAAAGAAACTTAGGTTGTTTTCCAGAATTGGTTCTCTTCTAAAGGTTAAAATCTGCAATAAAAATGTCATGTATTATTAGATGAAGACACTCAACAGACAGAAATATCTCTTGTAGTTTTAGTTGATCTCTGAAGAGAGTTAAATCTTGAAAATAACCCGTCTTGCAGCGCTTAAAGAATCTCTACTATGAAAATGTTTTTCGAACAGAAAATAACTTGATTAACAACACCTGTGATATGCATTATCACCCAAAGCCTCTTCAAACAAATCAGATAAGTTTCTGCTTTCATTTCTCTTTATGACATTCATTTTCAAAGCAGTATGGATGAGTATGCATATGCAGGTAGCTTTGAAAGGACTAAGGAAGATTATCAAAAATATTCTTTGTGTTTCTAAAATTCATATAACTTAAAAACTATCAAGGGATATGGATAAAATTTGACTACCTTTCCCCTAAAATTACTAAGTGTATCAATGATGACAAATTATCATTATTCTCTACTTCACTCTTGCTATACCTGAGTGAACATTTCCAAATATTTTAATATTACAGCTCTAACCAATTTAAAAATTTTAAAATGGATCACTACTAGACTAGTCTTTTAATGCTTCCAAATAGAGGTGAAATGCAACTTCATTTCTTTTCTTTATCTTCTTTTTCTTTTTTTTTACTTGTTTCACCTTTCTGGATCTTAATGACTTAACATTAAAATACCAAATTATTAAATTACCAAAGAGATAAATGTACTACATATGAATCATAATGCTTTGTAGGAGTTTTCTACTTTTACTTAAGAATGGCTGAAGAAAGAAATAAAGAATGAAAACCAAAAGCCCCTTTATTCCTCTGTTGCTAAATTTTGTTTAATGGGAAAAATAAAATAGAAACTCCACACCATCTTATGTCTAAGAAACACCAGTTCAAATATCTTATCTTGAAAAATTAAAGAAATTTTTGCATGTTATTTTTCAAAAGATACAGATTTTTATACTTGAGTGCCTTGAAATATAGGATCACAAATTTAAAATACAAAGAAAATGACAGAAAATAAAATGTTAAATTTTAATATAGTAATATGTGTTTTGAAATAGTGTAAAAATACTAGATACAAAAGAGGTTTGGATATAAAATCTAATGTATATGACTAAAAGAAAAATCTCCAAAAGTAAAGCTCAATTATGCTTGGAAAATACCACAAATCTTTACTGTGTAACCTTTCTTTGGTGAAATAAGATGGGCTTAAATAAAAGCACACTAAACTCACAACTTCAAAAAAAGTATTAAAAATAACACACACACACACACACACACACACACACACACACACACACGTCTTTACTACTAACTCTATTATTTGAAATCTGCCTCAAAGAAAAGTCCTTTAAAGTATCTTTTATACAGGCAAGAAAAATAAGCAAAAAAAGTTACCTACCCAAGTGTTATTTATATAATTTAGGAGCATTTGTACACACTAACAATCAGCTATTATATATTAGTAATATATTTTAAAAATAGACATCACTTTTAAGCAAACTATCAGTTTTAAAGTTCTAATATTGTAACGTCTTAAAATAAAATGCTTAATGTCAATTGCAACACTTAGTTGAAATAAAGTGATATTTTATTACTGATTTCCTTTGGTTTTATGAGATTTGAGACCACAGTTACAGCAAGTTCTAGTTTGAAATCTAATTATATGCCAAAATTAATTGCAAAGTGTACAGTGTTTCTAAGTTTGTGCAATTAAAAAATAAAAAGAACAAACTATGTATAGCCTTACAAGTCTTTCTAAAATGTGTTGTCTTAATTATAACCATGTTATCTGTTTTTCATAAAAGGGGTTAAAAAGAAATCAATGTAGAGATTAAGTGTCATTTAAATAACAAAAAAATAAGACAAAAGCATCTGTAAGGTCGGAAACATTTTAAGATTTGAGATGAATTTTTATAAAATTTCCATAACTGTATCTTTATAATCTAATTGTTAAAAGCTTACTGAAGAAGTATTAATTTTTTTCTGTCTGTAAACTCAATCAGCTGACCAATAGTTCTATACAGAAGGTTTCTTCAACATTCTTAATAGTTATTACACATAAACACCTGAATAATAGAAATAAAACTGTACACAGACTTCATGAAACCAAAACTAAAAAACAGCACACAAGCGAGAAAGAAACATGGAATCTAGAATGTGAACACTACTTTGAAATTTTTATTCTTATGTGTAGTTCCTGATAAACATATACTAGTCTAATCGAATACAAAAATCTTAGGCTATATTTTCTGAATGTACAATGAAGACAACAGTTTTTTAAAAATCATCTAAAATTAGACTTTTAATTGGAAATAGTATAAAGAACAAATAAATGAAAATCAATGCTACCAGGGAAACTGGTACTTTTGTTCCCTCTCCCCTACAGTATGTAAATGTAGTGCCAGGAGAACTATTATAGCAGTACCATTCTCCAGTGCTGTTTTCCAGTGGTAATAAATGACTTTTGCAGCCTTCACAACAGAATAGAAAGTGAGAATAATCAGTTTCTATAGAAAAACACAGATACCTGCATATAAACATATAAATATGTATATACCTACTGGAATTCTCCCTCCTGTCTAGCAGTAAAAGAAATATTTTGAATGTTATGGAATTTATTTAGCTGCTAGTATGTTCTAAAGCTTTAAGTGAATTAGTTTAAATAAAGGATCAATCAATTCTTTCAAAAAGTTGGTAAAACAAACAAAACAGAAGAAAAAAAAAAAAAAAGCCCTTCATTCAAAACAACAAATCCCATAAAACAAAGTGCCCAAAAAGTATGGTTTAGTGGAATTTAAAGCCTTCCCCACCCCCGCAATTCTCTCCCAGCTACACAATTTGAATAGAAATTAAAATTCATAAACAAACCAACAGTGAAAAGCAAAACTCATTAGCATTGGCACTTTAGATATAATTACATGTAGAATAAAATGAGATCTTTTACAATTTTATTAAATCAAATTTTACAGATAATTTTATGAAAAGATTCAAAATAAACAGATTTAGAAAAAAAGGATTGTGGGTCCAGTAATAATTACTATGAAAGTAATACAAAATAGAACATACTTATTAATAGAAATTAAAATGTTTTCATTTGGATTTTCCAATAATGTATATTTGTCTTAAAGTGAAAATAGAAATGTCTCAGCATTTCAATCATTTATAAAATATAAAAATTTAAAAATTCCCTTCAAAATCAGTTATTCTTTCAAAACCACACTGTTATCAAGATGCAACTAAAAGGAATGACAAACAGGGGAATAAATATTGATGGCTGTTTAAAGCAACACCAAACAAAAACTAACTGAAACCAATTAAATAAAGCAACACAAATGGACTGCTGTATACAACACACTTCCTCATAATGAATTTGTCAGAGGAATATAATAATGTATCATATAAGCTCATCTGTCTATACTTACCTGTTATATTAGCAATTAAGAAACATTAATGTCTTGTAAATTAAAAATTTCAAACCACTGCAGTGGCTGAGTTAGAAAAACATTTTAACATAGGGTTGCAAAGTTTTAAGAATATACTCAATTTTTATGAAAAATGTAGAACAGATAAGTTTACTTTCAACAAAATGAAAGAGACAATTTTCCCATAATCTGCATCCAATAAATACATGAAGGCTAAAATGAAAATTTTCTATCAAAGGAAAAAACAAACAGCGTAGATCCTTTGGCGCAGTTTTCAACCAATGAAGAACGCAGAAAAATAGGTCTTGTTAACTGCAACAGCAGAAAGTTTTCTGAAAATTGCTTCTTTAGTTTTACTTTTTAATACACATTTCCAAACCATCTGAAAGGCTTTTTATGGAAGAAACAACTCTATTGGGTACCAACTTTGTAAAAAAAAAAAAAAAAAAAGAAAGAAAAATCTCCGATTTTACTTTTCTGTATCTATCTGAGTAGTTCTCTGAGCAAACAGTTTTTACCTAGGTGGAGAATTATCAGCTCCTGGTTCCACATTCAAACCCCCCAGTACTGCTTCCTTCCAGCCAATCAGGGGGTAAGAAGTGCGGCGTTGGGGAGCTCCGTTAGACACAATTTGAAAAACATCACATTGCGCTCTTACTCTCCTGGAATGGATCTAAATGAGGGCGGGTCCCCAGTCTTCAGAGACAAGACACCAAATCCTGGGTTCTGATCCAATTCCACCGGGAGAAAGCTCTGCAGGGGGGCCTGCCCGGAACAGAAACAGTAGGTCACCGAGGTTCCCAGGGAACCTTACTCTTCTCTGCGAATAACTGAGTAGCTGCTGCAAAAGCATCTCCAGATGGTTCGGACCCCAGATCCGTGCGACCCTGATGCAGAATATTCGCTCAGCAGCAAAGGGTTAATCTAGGGGTGCTCTGAGGGAGGGAAGGGAGCAAGATCTCCTGGGTGTTTACTGTGGACTCTTCACAAAGCCTAGTGCCTAGAGAGTAACCTACACTCAAAGCTGTCACTGGCTTCTTCAAGAGTTGTCGACTCCGGGCTGACAAAAAGCCAACAACTACTAAGGAAAAAAGAAACCCCTAAAGGGAACCAACCCCGCTTTCTTCCGCCTCAGCGTCAAGAGTTCTCTCCAGAAAAGGTGAGAACTGCACAAATTACCGTTAAGTCGTCGGAGTAAAAGCTTGTCCGACGGAGACATTGAGTTTCACACTACTTTTCCTTGAGACGCGCGTTTTCAAGGACCGGAGCGGGGGAGGAAAAGTCTCCTAAGCGCGCGACGGAAGGGAGTCGCAAGCTCGAAGCCCGATCTTTCCTCTCACCCCAGCACCCCTCCCCCTTGAGAGAGAGAGAGAGGGAGAGGGAGAGAGAGAGAGAGAGAGAGGGAGAG